GGCCCTCACGGACCGCGTCGAAATTCCTTCTAGCTATTCTTAAGCTGCAAGGCAGCGCCATCTCTTCGCATTATAGGTAAACCCACAATGTCAAATGAATACTTTTACAAGTATTAAACATTTGAAAGAAGAAATAGCAATTATAGTTATAATTTTTATTATTTTTAAAGCATGTAACTGCTTGATGTTTAAATCTAAAGAAAATATAACTAGAAAAAATTCCACGCGGACCAGGCAGCAGACGGGACTCGAACCCGCACCCTTCGCAATCCGGGCGAATGCACTGACCAATTATGCTACCGCGGCCCTCACGGACCGCGTCGAAATTCCTTCTAGCTATTCTTAAGCTGCAAGGCAGCGCCATCTCTTCGCATTATAGGTAAACCCACAATGTCAAATGAATACTTTTACAAGTATTAAACATTTGAAAGAAGAAATAGCAATTATAGTTATAATTTTTATTATTTTTAAAGCATGTAACTGCTTGATGTTTAAATCTAAAGAAAATATAACTAGAAAAAATTCCACGCGGACCAGGCAGCAGACGGGACTCGAACCCGCACCCTTCGCAATCCGGGCGAATGCACTGACCAATTATGCTACCGCGGCCCTCACGGACCGCGTCGAAATTCCTTCTAGCTATTCTTAAGCTGCAAGGCAGCGCCATCTCTTCGCATTATAGGTAAACCCACAATGTCAAATGAATACTTTTACAAGTATTAAACATTTGAAAGAAGAAATAGCAATTATAGTTATAATTTTTATTATTTTTAAAGCATGTAACTGCTTGATGTTTAAATCTAAAGAAAATATAACTAGAAAAAATTCCACGCGGACCAGGCAGCAGACGGGACTCGAACCCGCACCCTTCGCAATCCGGGCGAATGCACTGACCAATTATGCTACCGCGGCCCTCACGGACCGCGTCGAAATTCCTTCTAGCTATTCTTAAGCTGCAAGGCAGCGCCATCTCTTCGCATTATAGGTAAACCCACAATGTCAAATGAATACTTTTAAAAGTATTAAACATTTGAAAGAAGAAATAGCAATTATAGTTATAATTTTTATTATTTTTAAAGCATGTAACTGCTTGATGTTTAAATCTAAAGAAAATATAACTAGAAAAAATATTTTCTGCGGTAGAAAAAATATTTTCTAGTTATATTTTCTTTAGATTTAAACATCAAGCAGTTACATGCTTTAAAAATAATAAAAATTATAACTATAATTGCTATTTCTTCTTTCAAATGTTTAATACTTGTAAAAGTATTCATTTGACATTGTGGGTTTACCTATAATGCGAAGAGATGGCGCTGCCTTGCAGCTTAAGAATAGCTAGAAGGAATTTCGACGCGGTCCGTGAGGGCCGCGGTAGCATAATTGGTCAGTGCATTCGCCCGGATTGCGAAGGGTGCGGGTTCGAGTCCCGTCTGCTGCCTGGTCCGCGTGGAATTTTTTCTAGTTATATTTTCTTTAGATTTAAATATGTTTCATTCTTTTATCAGCTCGGTGAAGGTCGATGTAGGTTCGGAAGAAAAACGAGCAGAATTCTTCCATTCCACCACGATAAAGTCATTATTTTTATATAACAGTATAGTATAGCAAAGGTTAACAAATGTCATGAGAATATGCACTTTATGTTTTCACATTATATCTACGTAAAAGACTTTGATCGTCCATACTGATTAAAACATGACTATATTTTTCTCTGCTATTACATATTTCACTTCCTACCGACCGACACAACATATCAAAGAACTGTATGCTATACAAATGGTAAAAGCAAATTGCCACCCCAGGAGCTTTATTGTCATCTTTCATCAAACCACCATAATTTCAACAACTTAAAGGAAATCTAAAGAAAATTTTACTAAAAAAAACTACGCGATCCAGGCATCAGACGAAATACTGTGTGGATTTTTTTAAACTTCCTCTAAGGTGGAGACACTCGCATTTAAATAGGTATAAAATAATTTGGGAAACGCGTTGTGTGTTAAGTCTCACACAACACACTAATAAAGCTTCTATGAGTAGATTTTCTAGTACAGTCTATGAAACAAGTTCAAACCTTTCTCATTACTTATACTTTTCGTGATACTGTTCAAACACATAACTACTGTTACCGTTTGCTCGGCAGCACATGTATAGATGAATCAGTTCATAATAGCGAGAGCAAGCACATTAAAGTTTCTATAAATTCTGCCACTGGGAGCCGCAGAAGAAAGTCCTTTTAATACAAACCGTACAACTGCAAAACTTTATTAATGTCCAGACACATGTTTGGAGGTATTCAGTTCAATCTATTTTCTTACAATAAACTTTTTTTGATGACATCACTGAAAAATTAAATTAACAAAATATTACTTCCAAGATTATTCTCAGCGTTTTAATACTGGGGTATGAGACTAGTTTCGCATATTTTATACGCAAACAAGTTGAAGTTGATGAGCTTACCAATAAGGATCATGAGCAGGCGCATTAAGTTCTAAGTCCAAAATGGGTACTAATAGGCACCAATATTTGATGTCGCCCAAGCTTGTAAGCACTCTGCACGCCCGTTCAAACGCTATTCCATTCATTCAGAAGTCATCTCACTATAAATAATCCCGTGTATTCCCAACCCAGGAAAATGGCGGAGGGTTTGAGGCAATATGTAAATCACAGCGTTATCGTATCATGTTGCACATACTTAATTAGCCAGATTGTTCCAGCCAGTCCAACTTCACGCTAGTGTTGTGAAACCAAGTGACTGCAATATCGAAACTTCATGAAAATCGTTTATTCAGTTTACTCACAGTCAAAGAAATATTAAAAAACGTTTGTTATTTCTAAAAGTCGTGTTACAATGTTATATGTTTTCAACTTTTATATCATACTAGCAGTACCCCGCGGTGTTACCCACGGCTTATTACGGATATTTTCCCGCAGTAAAAGTAGCCTATGCGTTAATCCAGGGTGTCAGCTAGCTCTATACCAACTTTTATTAAAATAGCTCCAGCTGTTTAGACGTGAAGAAGTAACATACACACTCACTAACTTTCGCCGTTATAATATTAGTGTCATAAACTGCGATAGAAAAAATTTTTTCGCTAGCAAACTCTTTATACTTACTTAGGTACACTACACAAGGATTAGAGTAATTCTCTAAGGCTCATACTACAAAACTAAGTGTTGATCTTTACTTGAGTACAGTTAGAAAGGGGTGCCGCTTTGTATAGCACATAGCGACATCCCTTTCTATCAACACTTAGTTGTCATTTTGTAATACGACCCTTTCTTGTTAAAAAACATGCCATTAGTCATATTTTTTATATAATACGTTACCTTCACCATTTTACTTTAGTTTTATATCAAAAAAAGATTCCCAGATTTTATTCTTCAGTGTGAAATCATTATCAAAAGGTGTGACAGCAATACATAGTAATCTAAAGAATTCCTTATTATATATATATATAATATCGATAAAATCGTGCACTTCCTTAATAAGACAATGGCCCTATTGGCGGGCTGTCGCCGACTGTTTTTTCCTTTTGTCCCCAGCAGAAGATGCGGCGCATTCTATCCCAACTTTATTTGCTTTTATTATTCCCGATTGCTATGCACTCTGCCGTTAGAAATGTAAAACTTCTTGATGCAGCACGAACTAACTCGTTATGGGAATTGTCGACTATTTGCAGGCTTTATATACTTTTCTTAAGCTTCTTATCTTCTTTAACAATTCAATGATTTATTACTTATTGATATTGAAGGCAAATCTATAAATGAAAACCTACAAAATGTTCGTATGAATATATGTAATCTGTTATGAAGAATAAAGCGTGTGTTTCTCGTGCCTGCATAGAAAACCTTTCTCACTATTCATTCGATGTTTGTGGAGCGTATGAAATGAAGCTTTGCCGTAAATTGGAATCATAAGGCAAGTTTTGAAAAGTGTGCGTAATGAATAATTGTAACCGAATAGGAATAAACTTATTATAAGGTAATTGTCCAACCTTAATGTACTTGGAGTATAAAAACAAAGCTGACATTATATTTTTTTCTTTATTTAATTCCAAACTTTCACTTAACTCGAAAACCGAGAATACAACAAACGTGCAGCAATTTTATGGGTAATTTGGAAGCTTGGCCCGGGGCAATGCTGGCGATATTAATCTACAGTTAATGGCAGATTTGTTGGCCGTCACTGCAAATAAAAAAAGGTATCAGAAACAATTATGACGTGTTGCCCGATGATAAATCAGAATATAACATAATTGAGAACATTATTGTATTGTTGATTGTCTTTATAAATCACAAGTCTTTAATTAAGGTTTAAGAAAAAAACGGCGAAGTGGAAGGCGGATTCTTAAACGAAGAGTTCCGTGATAGAGTTGAATAGTTTAATCAGTTTAATGTCTTTGTTATGCAAGAAAAAAAAGTAGCCTGTTGCTACTTTGTCGTACTTACAAGGCTTAACATTTGATAAAAAAATCTGCATCTATTTACAAAAAAAAGTACAATTCACCACTCGAATACTAAAAATAAAAATAAAGTATCGGTCCCGATTTTGAGTCTGAGCAAAAGTAGTAAGTCCTTTTTAGGTTGTAGTGTTAGCTTCTTTAACAAAATACCTGACGATGTCGTTGCAATAATAAATACTTAATTTAAAAAACTACGTAAAAAAGTAATGATTAGTTCAGCCTATAAAAGTTAAGACTATATTGCAGATAAATATTCTTGGGATGAGTAAATTGGGATTAGTTTGCTCTGCGCTGGATATTGACTATTCTATTATTTAATTTTATATAGATTTTATGATTTTTTGATTGTTTTTAATACTACTTTCATGCTTTTGAGATTTATAGTAATAATTTACTTTCGTTGGTTTCACTCTATTACTATGTCTCTACAAAGAGATTGCATTCAGAGCATTTTCTTCATACACTAAGTAAAAGTATGTATACTGTAGCTAAGCAATACAAATATATCAGGAAAATTTACGCTTCAATGTTTTATTTTAGGACACGCAAGCAGCAGCCGCAGCCCTAACATCCCTAGGGCACGTATACACAGCAATAGGTGACTACCCTAACGCACTAGCCAGTCACAAGCAGTGCGTGCAACTGGTGAAACAGATGGGTGACCGGCTGCAGGAGGCGAGAGAGATAGGAAATGTTGGTGCAGTGTACCTGGCTATGGGGGAGTTTGACTCTGCTGTGGACTGCCATACGCAACACTTGAGACTTGCGAGGAGACTTGGGGATCAGGTGAGATCATAATAAAATACGTCAGAAGATAGGAAAAACAAGAATAGACAATGTCTACGTCAAAACAATCAAAGCTTACTGTAAATATCACAAACATTCACCAACAAGAATATGAAACGAAAGCACTTGAAAATACAATAGATATTTTATGATAACATTGTTATAATTTGAACAGGTGGAAGAAGCCAGAGCATATTCAAATTTGGGCTCCTCATACCACTACAGGCGTAACTTCTCCCAAGCGATAGCCTATCATGAAAACGTTTTGAGAATAGCACAAAATCTTGGAGACAGAGCAATTGAAGCTAGAGCTTATGCTGGACTCGGGCATGCAGCGAGGTGACTATACTAAATATCTACCAAAAGGTCTCAGACTTTCGTATCACCTGATGTTGAAAACTAAAAAAAAATGTTTCAGATGCGCCGGAGATTATGCACAAGCAAAGAAATGGCACGAAAGGCAATTGGATGTCGCTTTGGCTGCCAGAGACAAGGTAAAAAGTTCATCAAAAAATTGTGAATGATTTTTAGTTTTCAAGAGTTTAAAAATATCAGATGTGGTCATGGTATGATGTTATTTTCAGGTTGGAGAAGGGAGAGCATGCTCAAATCTGGGCATCGTCTATCAGTTGCTAGGAGAGCATGATGCCGCCCTGAAGTTACATCAAGCTCATTTATCGATAGCAAGGCAATTGCAAGTGAGGATGCATTCATTTAAAGAGAACTTAGTAACTCCTTTTTCTACTCACATTTGGGATCTTCAGCTAAGTCTTAACACGATCCAAAAGAATGCAGTCAATTAAATGCTGTATACTACAAATAGCAAAGTCTCACTTCAACAATATTAATCACATTGAAAGATTAATATATTAGGAAAATTGACAAAATTACCATATTTTTTTGTAGGATAAAGCAGGCATGGGCCGAGCTTACGGCAACATCGGCAATGCATATTCCGCTGCAGGTTTTTATGAGCAAGCAATCAAGTACCACAAACAAGAGCTGACTATCTCCAAAGAAGTTCACGATAGAAGTTCAGAAGCTTCCACACATGGGAACCTCGCCGTTGCATACCAAGCTTTAGGTGCTCACGATATGGCACTGTTCCATTACCGAGCACATTTAGGCAAGTTCATGTTTAGATTATTATTAGTTTTTAATATATATTTGAATAATTATTCTTCACGAAACTTATGTGATTTTTCAAAGTACCTTTTACTATTTCAGTTTATTAAATACTTGTAAATTTACTAATGCAAATTAAGTCTATGGTAGACTTGTCAATCATGTTTGAGTTAAAAACAAAAATCCATACTCTCTCATTTATATTAACAGTTAAATATGGTAACAGAATTTATATGAGACTTTTTTATGTATAGGTATAGCAAGAGAACTTAAAGATGCTGCAGGTGAAGCATGTGCTCTACTAAACCTAGGAAACTGTCTGTCCTCACGTGGTGAATTCGCTCAGGCCGTGCCATATTACGAACAACACCTAATGCTGTCGCAAGAATTAGGCGACGTAACTGCTGAAGCCAAAGCTTGCCATTTTCTAGGATACGCTCATTACTGTCTGGGAAATTATAGAGAAGCTGTTAGGTAAGTAATTTAAGACTTTGACATTGATAATAGATAATAAAGGCAGAAACAGGCTTATGAAACGCGACACCACGCTACGCCACGCCACGCATGTTGAGTCGAAGCAATTTTTTTTATTCTCTATGATCAGAATCGCATTGAGAATATCCGACGCAACGCGATGCGCCATAGAAACTACGCGTCGCATGGCTTGGGTTGGCGGGGTCGCGTTTCATAAGTCTGTATCGGCCTTTACAGTTCGACACATTTAATAATACAGTTGCGAAAATAAATTATATTTTGCTTTACAGATACTATGATCAAGATTTATCACTAGCCAAAGATTTACAAGACAAGATGAATATGGGTAGAGCATACTGTAATTTGGGGCTTGCTCACCTTGCCCTAGGGAACTTAGAAACGGCTCTGGAATGCCAGAAATACTTTTTAGCGATAGCCCACATGACCCAGCATTTGCAGGGAAAATTTAGGGCATTAGGAAATATTGGTGATGTTTTAATAAAAATGGGAGATGTAGAGGAAGCAGTCAAGATGTACCAAAGGCAACTTGGGTTTGCTAGACAAGTAAGTTACAGTTGCAATTCACTATTTGCAATTTGTGGGTAATATTTTTCTGGATCTTACTTATTGAATTTTGCTGTAGGCTCGAGATCGCTCTTTGGAAGCTGCGGCATGTGGCGCCTTAGGCTTGGCGAGGCGGTTACAAAGAAGACTTGACGCAGCGCTAGGTCATCACACACAGGCAAGTTTAATAAAAATGTTAGGTTAATTTTTTACTTGTCACGACTTCCCAAAGAATTTAAAAGTAAACATGTAACTATTCTAAAGGAATTGACACTACGCCAAGAAGCAGGAGACGCTGCGGGCGAAGCGCGCGCACACTCTCATCTCGGGGCAGTTCATATGGCACTGGGACATTACTCACACGCTGCACGATGTTACAGGGTAAGACTAATCTTAATCGTATAATAATGTGGATTTTATTGCTTTGATTTCACCTGATTAATCTCTTTAGCCAAATTTCGATAGTTGTACGTACGGGTTACCAAAAAATTAAACATTTTTGTTATTGAACATATCGAAATTGCCATCTTTCTAAAAATACAGTTCCAAATTTTTTTTTTAGATTTATAAATTGAGCAGATGAATGCTTAAAAATATGTAATAAAATAGTTGCAATTCATAATTCCTGCTGTTTATTACATTTTAGGAGCAGTTGGAAAGAGCGCAAGAACTTCAAGACTGTGCTTTGGAAGCGCAAGCATACGGAAACTTGGGTATAGCGAAACTAAATATGGGCCACTACGAAGACGCTATTGGTTATTTAGAACAGGTTTGTTGAATCCTGTCACTGCTTTATTTAAAAGCTGTCCTTATTGAAATACAACTAAAATATGAAAGGACTCTTAAGCATATAGTTAGCCAATGGTATGTAAGTAGGTAGAGGAGGGTACATTTCTAAACATTTTTGTAATGACGTATTTGCAGCAACTCGCAATTCTAGAACGCGTGAACACAACAACATGCCAGCTAGACAAGGCACGCGCCCTGGGTTCTCTTGGTGACTGTTACGATGCCCTAGGGGACCCAGACGAAGCAGTCAAGTATCACGAACAACATCTAGCGGCAGCATTGAAGCTAGATAACAAGAGAGAACAAGAACGAGCCTATAGGGGTTTGGGCTTGAGCCATAAGTAAGTCTATATCGATAATTAGTAAGTTAATTTTAATAGCTTTCTTATACAATTTTGGTTGTGTAGAGCTACTTATAGTATTTTTTAAATTATCAGCTTTATTGACGCATTTCCTCAAAAAATGTTATCATCATCATCAATAATCATCAAAATCATTTATTCAGTTTAGGCTGTTACAAGCACATATGAATGTCTAGAAGCTACGCCATCGGTTCGTAAATCTACGGCGGGAGACCTTGTACTGAGAAGAACCGGCAAGAAACTCAGCAAGGGCTGTTTTTTTCTCCCTGTTTTATCATTTACAGAGTCGTCAGGTTGAAAAATGACTTCAGAGATGATTCATGAAGTCACCCTTCATTACATAATGTAAAATTATACATTAATTGTACACCTGCATTTTGATTGCTGTGTCACACAGTATAAATACAAACAGAGTTATTTATAATAGGTGTAATTAAACATTTACATCTTAAATATCAAAGTAGTTAGGGCAGACTCATCTCCGCTGGCAGCACCCGTTCACGAGCATGACGCATGAACCAGCCATCGCTTCGCTCAACCATATTTAGGGAACGTAACGACCCGCCTCACACGACACCACCGAAGAGACTTTTAAGAGAACATGACTACCCATAACCACCTATATCAACCACAACATATTTACTTAAACTTAAAGTCATTTATCTGTAGGACACTGCAAACAATTACAAAGCAAAAACAATAGAGAAATCATGACCACGCCGTTTTGTCATTCAAATCTTCTTAAATAGTCTGATATTCTTCCTTACGTAATCAGCTTTAAATACAGCTTTTCAATAGAAGTATCATCAACACGTGATTCATAATATATATCATATAAAAATACCCGTTGGAATGGTTGGAACAGTTCAAACCCAAGCATTTTTGTTTGTAATATAATCAGACACTTTATAATAAGCATTCTTAATAAGAGTTTTTTTAATAGTCGATTTAAATTTAGTCAGGCTCAACTCTTGAATATTGCTTGGGACTTTATTGTAAAAGCGAATACAGAGGCCTCTAAACGAATTATTAATTTTGTGGAGCCTAGTAGCAGGTAAAGTTAACTTATTTTTACTTCTAGTATAAAGTGTATGTATTTCACTATTTTTAGTAAATAAACTAATATTTTTTTTTGACATATACTATATCTATATTGCTGAACGCAAAATACTGTTATATAAAATACTGATTTATACGGAGTAACTCCGTGATTTTGGCGTTTGCAACTGTGCTGCAATATCGGAACCTCGCTAAAAACAAGATACATGGTAACAATCCCGTAAATAACATAAATTACTATAATGTTAGTGACAATGAAAGTTGGAAACAGTATAAAATATTCATCGTACAATGTAAACTTCATTCACCCATTTTTTACGTTGTATTGGTACAATGAAAACTGAATTCATCCATTTACCAGACAAATTACCAGAATTTCTCCAATTGACCTTTGGGTAATTCCTCGGTGGATATCAGTAGTAACGGGGTTTCGTGGACCGAGTTTCGCACGAACGTCTCGATACTTCAAGAACTCGGTATCAGGCAGCGTCTATTTTCGACAGTACAATCTCGCATCTTAACATTCTTCGGACACGTTTCTCGGCGTAGCAACCTATCCATAGAACGCCTTGTCGTCCAAGGAAAGGTGGAAGGTACTAGACCGCGCGGAAGGTCACCCACGCGATGGACTGACCAGATCAAGTCAGCCATTGGAGGTTCACTAAACGAGTGCAGCAGGATGACCTCTAGCAGGCAGCAATGGCGAAACATAGTGAAGCGCATCACATCTGCCCCCTCCAATAATACTACAAGTTCATAGCGACCACGACCGCTCTGTCAAGAACGTACCGGCTAAGAAGAAGATCAGTAGTAAATTATATCCATGTTTTTACATGGATTTTTATCACATCTTAATAATAAATTGTTTTCTATTCGTAGATCGATAGGCAATCTACAGCAAGCCTTAGTGTGTCTTGAGAAGCGCCTCGTGGTGTCACACGAACTTGGAGTGCCGGAAGCCAAAGCGCAAGCCTATGGAGAACTGGGCTCATTACACATAGCGCTTAACAATCTGGAGCAAGCAGTTTTCTGTCTGGAACATCAGAAAAATATTGCGAAGTGAGTTAATTCCAAAATATTATTACTAGAAGTCGAAAACCAGCAACTGCAGAAATCCTATTCATCTCTTTATACCAAATTCTCTATAGTACCTTCACCAGCTAGAGTAAATGTTTCATGTTTCTCTTCTTTTCCTTCTTTAGTTACTACAGCTTTTTTCATTTTCCTAACTGATACAATCAAGCGTTAGGCACAAATCATAAGTATACTACGACCTTCGTGACTTGAGTTTTTCAAGGTGTCGCCTACTCAGTAGTCCCGGGTTCGAATCCAGGTGGGGCAAATGTATGTGTGATGATTGCTAGCATTTGTACTTAAGTCGTGGATGTTAACATATGTATTACTAAAAAAATAATACTGATCTATGTATCAATATATGTATTCTATCCGTTACCCTAGTATTCCATAACACATGCCTTACAGTGCTTACTTTGGGGCTAGGCTAATTGGTGTGTGTGTGTGTGTTAGAAATATTAATACTGAACTGAATTGAAAGACAGTCCATTCCATATCGTAATTCAGCTATCTAAGGCAGCTGTAATGTCAATTTTATTATTATAAACAGGGAATTAAACAACCAAATAATGGAAGCCGAGGCGTGCCATTCTCTAGGCGTAGCACAGCACGCGCTGGGTGAGCACGCGGTCGCCGTGAAACATCATCGGGCAGAACTCGAGCTGGCGCACCGACTTGGTCTCACTCATCTTCAGGTACACAAACATTATAGTCTTCATTTGTTTTTGCATTGATTTCTTTTTAAAAATTGTGTTGTGGCGGATGTTAGTGCGATGGTGGATTATTAACCACTAAGTGTTCGGGAACATGCACAAGTGTTAGCAAGTGAAACAAAATAGCGGAAAGTGTCTTTCGACGTTCCTTCAAGAAGTCCACGGGGAGGTTCCAGTAAATCCCCACACTTTTACTGAAACATGGGGAAAGGGAGATTGACTTGACTGCCACTTACAAATACAAATACAATTTCTTTATTTCCATACCTTACTAAATATTACATTATATATAAGTATTAAATATGAATCGGAAAAAGGAGTAGGCACAGCGCAGCTGGTTTTAAGCCTACCCATCGTCAAATTTTGTGGTTAGTTATACAATTTAATTCAATTATAAATAGCCAATTACATGTCAAATATATTAATTACAATGTCAATTCATTTAGATGTCATTCAAAGCGTAGTCAATTCAATGTCACGTTATATTTAAAATGTCATATTTTTTTTACTAGTCAATTACAATTTATGTTATTCTTACACACAATAAATGTTAAATATATCAATTACAATGTCATTTTTTTTTAGTTGTCACTTAATTACAATTATATAATTCTTACACACAATAAATAATAATATACAATCCAGGTAAATTAATTAATTTAGTACATCTACAATTAATGACTCACATTACTGACCAATACTTTGCGAGTTTAGCGTATTTAACTTTACTCTCATAGGGACAGACAATATTTTCAAATTGCTTTTGAATATTCAGCAGATACTTCTTTAATTTAGACTTGAATGAACTATGTGAATGACTTACTTTGACTTGACTTATTACTTTGACTACGAGTGCTTTAGTATTTGTATACCTGCATTTATCACTTGACAATGGCTAAATGCACAAGCCGTGCGAAGCCATTTAAAAAAAACGACATAAAACAGGAGAGCTTCAAACATATATTATATCAATGGTGAAGTTATTACAGGCTTGAGTGTTGTAAGAGGTCAGTTGGTCTAATATTCATTCAAAAGCTGCATTGGAGCCTCAAGTCGAACCCATTGCCTTAAAATTTTTTGGGTTTATTTTTCAGAACGTAATATCTTCTTTAATTTTTTCTATTTTTATGCAAATTTCTCACTTTTCTACCGATGGTAATTCTTTATACATCCGTCATTGCAGGGTGTTATTTTGTAACTGTAAACGCTTAGTCCGCTTTTTTGATATTGGTTTAATTTTATTAGTTTGGTCAATATACAAATCAGTAGTACAAAGTATTCATTCAGTAATATTGTCTGTATATTATAGGCGCGAGCATGTGGCGGCTTGGGTGCGGCGCACGCATCGATGGGAGCCCACGCCGAGGCGGCGCGCTGGCACGAGTCACGGCTGCGACACGCCACCGCCGCTGGTAAGAGATGCGATCACACCATCACTATAGTGCGATATAAACTTTAAGATGATTGTAAAGTTAGCAATGATTTCAACCGACTATACGCGGGTCAAACCACGTGCGCACATACCACTTGCGCCACGACTTGCACTAACACACTGCCGCCATTAAGTGTTATTCGTAGTATACTTACCAATTTTAATAATCTTCTTTATTCAGAAAATAACTACTTTTAGGGTTCCGTACCTCAAAAGGAAAAACGGAACCCTTATAGGATCACTTTGTTGTCCGTCTGTCCGTCCGTCCGTCTGTCAAGACCCTTTTTCTCAGGAACGCGTGGAGGTATAAAGCTGAAATTTATATCAATTACTCAGGTCTACTGTCCCTTGAAGCTGTGAAAAAATCAAACTTCTAAGCCAACGCAATCAAAAGATACAGCCGTTTATGCCGCAAATTTTCGACACTTGCAAGGGAATCAAAACCTAAAGGGTGCTTCCCGTGAACTCAGAATCTTGAAATTTGGTACCAAGCAACGTCTTATAGCATAGATAAAGGAAAAATTACGAAAACCATAAATTTTTAGTTACATCACATAATATATATTTTTTTAATAATTTTAACCTTACTACCCATTTCCTCATAAACGCGTAGAGGTATTAAATTGAAATTCATACCAAATACTCAGGTCTATAATACCTTTAAGCTGTAACAAAATCAAACTTCTATGTCAACGCAATCAAAAGAAACAGCAATTTAAGCTGCATATTTTGAAACTCGCAAATACTCGCAAGGGAATCAAAACCTAAAGGGTACTTCCGGTCGACCTAGAATCTTGAAATTTGGCATGAAGCAACGTTTTATAGCACACATAAAGGGAAAATTGCGAAAACCTTAAATTTTTAGTTACATTACAAAATATATATTTTTTAATAAATATAAACTTATTACTTTTTTCCTCATGAACGCGTAGAGCTATCAAGTTGAAATTCATATGAAATACTTAGATCTAATTGCCTTTAACCCGTGAAAAAAAAAAATTCTAAGTCAACGCAAAAACGCAAAACGCAAAAACGCAAAACGCAAAAGTACAACCATTGATACCGCATATTTTGAAACTCGCAACTACACGCAAGGGAATTAAAACCTAAAGACCACTTCCCGTTGACATAGAATATGTGTTAATATAAAATAAAGGATTACTTAAACGATAAAGAGATCTTTGTCTTAAATTTATGCTCCTCCATCTTTCCCCATTGTAATGTTATGAATTTCATTTTGCAATAAAAATACCATAGTTATGACTCGATTGTCGTAATGAACGAACTTTGTAAACCTTGCAGGTTTGTACGGAACCCTCGGTGCGCGAGTCCGACTCGCACTTGGCCGGTTTTTTATATCTAACATCATCATGACATGAATCTACCTACCTTCCCAATTTCGACACTTATTTTACACTTACTTCAAAACACGTCGATAAAAATTACTTTAATGAAGACCCGATCTTTTATTACATTTTAATTTATCATACAGGTGATACTCGTGGACGGGCACAAGCGTTGGCGGAATTGGGCGGCGCGCATCTAGCTATGGGCGCTTGTGGTAGCGCAGTCTCCTACCTCAGGCAAGCTTTGGCAGCGACGGAAGGACTGGCTGACATTGACCAAGAGGTATGTTGCATCTTTAAAAACAGGTAATAGATTGAGCGTTCCCTGTGCAACTGCTACCCGCAGCCATGCACAAGCGTTGGCCATACTGGGCGGCACGTAACTCGCTATGGGCGCATGCGGTAGCGCAGTCTCCTACCTCAGACAGACGTTGGCATCGACGTAAGGACTGGCTTACATGGACCAAGAGGTATTTTACATCGTTGCATCCATATATCTACATAGAGAATGGACTGAGCGTTCCCTGTCTTATTCTCACCCATGGTTGGGCACAAGCTTTGGCGGGATTGGGCGGCGCGCATTATCGCTATGGCCGCGTATATTAGCTCAGTCTCCTACTTCCGGCAAGCGTTGGCAGCGACGGAAGGACTGGCTGACATGGACCAAGAGGTGCGTTGCTTCCATAGACAAAAAGAATGGATTGAGTGTTCCCTGTCCAACTGTCTTGGGTGGCCCGGATCTCGCTATGGGCGCTTGTGGTAGTGCAGTCTCCTACCTCAGGCAAGTTTTGGTAGCGACGGAAGGACTGGCTGTCGTTGACCAAGAGGTATGTTACATCTATAGACATAGATAATGGAATAAGCGTTCCCTATCCAACTGTCACCCGTCGCCCGGCATAAGCGTAGGCAGAATTGAGTGGGGCGCATCTCGCTATGGGCGCGTGTAGTAGCGCTCCTATCTCAGGCAAACGTTGGCAGCGCGGAAGGACTTGCTGACATCGGCTAAGAGGTATGTTGCATCCATAGACATAGATAAAGGACTAAGCGTTTCCTGTCAAACTGTCACCCGTGGTCGGGCACAAGCGTTAGCGATATTATAGGTAGGCGACGCGCATCTCGCTATGGGTGCGTGTATATTGTATAGCGCAGTCTTAAAGATTTCTCTGTCCACTCTATTAATGACTGCGGTTCTTAAGTTCAAGTTAAGTTCAATCGCTTAATCTTAAGTTCAATCGCTGAATAGATAATTTTTAATTTTTCAATTCTTGGATAAAGTTGTCAGTCAGATAAGTCAAACAACAAAAATAAGGGCTAATTTTTCAATCTCCAGATAGAGGTAATCTTAAGTATTAGTATCAAATTACTGTAATATCCGTTGCTCCAGAAGGACCAATAAGTAATACACAACTGCATGTTATTTTTATATTCTCATTCTAAGTGGACTGTATATGTCTTTATGGGAAATAAATTATCTTTGAACCTAATAGAGTGCCCACCAATGCTCATACTTAACCGTTAACTGTTAACTTACAAACAACAACATTTTTTTCAACAAAGTTATATAAGTACTTCTTTTTCATCGCGCATTAGCACCGCTACTCGCTTAGTGCGGTTTTCGATTTACCATAAGTCACATTTCGAATGCTTGGGAACCTCCAGTACGAGTGCTACCTCATTAATAACAAAACAAAAAGATCTTAGATTATTTTTTCAATTCATTCCTGGACCCAAATACTCAGAAAACTTTAAGTAACTATTACCTAATCCGTTGTCCAGGCTCGTGTGCGCCACAAACTAGGCTTCGCTCTGTGGGCATCGGGAGAGCTGGAGGAAGCCAAGGAACAGCTCCAAGCCGCCCTCACTGTTCTGGAGACGGGAGCGGATAAACACCGAGACAGAAAGTTTGCCGCCTTATATACTTCGACACATCACGCCTTGCAGAGAGTACTTGTTGGTAAGTCCTACGTAAAAAGATAGGCAAGTAATAAAATGTTACCTCACCCGTCACCGTCAAAAGAGAAATATCCCGTCACCCTGACATGACGCATTAAGACGATAATAATTGTTCGGTAACACCCTCTACCAGAAAAACAGATTTTTGTGATGACATCAATCTGTTTTCTGACAATAATAGAAAGCCGGCTGTGGCTGAAAAATTGTGTGTGTGAATTAATCACATGATATCTCTCTTAGCCCCTTCTTTTATTTTTCAACACAGCTTGGAATTTTCATGGAAACTTCTTAAATTCATTCTTATCATCTCTCAGAGCTTGGCCGTCACCCCGAAGCCCTGGTGGTAGCGGAGCGTGGACGATGTCGAGCACTAGATACACCGGAAAAGCAAACGGGAACCCTGAGTCAAGCCAATCTCGAGTTACATGCATCGCAAAGGTATTGTTGAACCAAGTTCCTTTTTTAAAATCACATTTCCCATAACCAGTAAGGCTGCCATTAGACGTTCATACAACCTTTAATCAATTCCATCGGTCATAAATGACAAAAAAACATCAGTCACCATGAGCCACCTCATGAGACGACATAACCTGTCGTCATCTATCAGTCGTATTTAACCTTGACTGCTAGTAAACTGACAGCAATACCTAGCGTCTAATGGCCGCCCAAGGTTTCCAATGCTCTACTGGATCAATCAATATATAGGGGCAATAGTAATAATTTATTAACACGATTCACCCACACAGAAATGGAGCAGAAGATGCAACAAAGGACCGCCCAGAACCCTGGAGTCCATCAACATTAGACCAAGTATTAGAAGTAGTGAACAAACAGAAAGCGCCTGTTCTCTACTACAGTCTCGCTGCTGGACGTCTGTACGCATGGCTACTGCAACCACATAAGGGTAACAACTAAATTATGCCAATCACTTATCTACATGACAATATACAAATATTATCTTCATGTTTATGAAAAACTGGAATCCCCCTTGTTTAACAAAAGACGTTACCTAAACAATAAAAAAGTTTATAATTTACAGGTATCCTACGCTTCCATCAAGTATCTTTACTCGATGAATCGGAAGAAAGCAACAATAGCTTGCCAGACATAAATCCTGATGACCTCCAGACAAACATGGGTAAAGTTTATTTTATTTAACAGTAAAGTAAACCGATAGTTAATCACAATATTAGCTTAAAAGTAAATTAATAAGTTTATCCAAGGTTTTTACCTAGAAAATTATTATTGCCAGATGAAGCTTCTTGCCAATTGAATGATTCTGGTTTAGTAGGTGCAGATAAACTTGAGAGATGCATCAGCGAATGGTCTTCGTGGCTAAAGACAGCGGCGGAAAGACGCGAGGATGACCAATGGGAGCCCGATGAGCGACCCAGCACTGGACTCACAAGAATGGTTAGTCACATTTTTACTAAAAATAAATATATGTGTAATTACAGAGAGTACTTCAATTACTAAGTACAGGAGCGAACACGTTAATCCTCCATCTTCTTTAAATTTTTGTGTAGTGACTGACTGATGTCATATATTTTGGTGTTATTACTGACCCATCCAGTAATGTGGTAATTAATGTCTAATTTCGATGACTGTGATAACTTCTTTATTTGTGATTTACATAACCAAAATTTATCTGCCAATCCAAAAATGAATCCATGTTGGATCACTGGTGATGATATATCCTTTAAATATAAGCTCAGGTGTTTCAACGCAAAAGTCGACTTATTATTTCTTTGCTTTGCACAGGTTTCCCGTAATCATTTGCTGAATTCATCGAACTATTCTTTGAGCTCATTGTTCAGCGTGGGATCAGTCGGTGGATCAGTTGCTGGTTCTGTTGCTAGCTTGCAAGGATCTACTAGGTGACAAGATCTTTTATTTGGTATAAACTGATAATTATCTCAGAAAATGCAAGATTTTTATAATTATCTTTCTTATTTTCCCAGATCTAGCATACACTTGCCTCGTAAAAAGCCCGCTTCTTGGCAAGGTCCGCCTTGTCTCACCGCTCTCTACTTGATGCTGTTGGCTCCTTTCGAAGATCTGCTGCCTGCATCGTGTAATAACAATCATGGTACCTAAATCAGATAACTTTTTAATTTAAATTTCACTATAGTAAAAAAGTAGTGTTCCGTGCTAGACTCGCTTGTTTTCTCTTGTAACACTCCATTGAAAAATATTACAAAATGAGCATCAGGAAATAATAGATTTTCTCGCAAAAAACTTATGGCGGCTCTTCATTTCGCTATTCATGTTTGCTTTTTGTAAACTTGTCATCAGTTTGTCCTTTCCATAGCTTTTAAAGCATGATAAAGACAGACTGTTGTCAAGTTTACAATTAGCAAATACAAATACGGCCAGTGAAGTGCCCGCATTACCTACGAAATTCCAGACTGTAGATAAAAGTGGATATGTCATACATTTAATGTCACCAAAAATTAAGTTTGACTGATCATGATGTCTAAATGAACTAAATGTTGCAGCATCCCATGGACGTCGCGGTTGTGGTGGACGGCGTGAACTATTAGTAGTAGTAGAGGGCGCCTTATACGCGTGTCCGTGGGGTGCTTTACGGCCCCCGGACGGCGAGCCACTATGCGAACGATACGCACTATTAGCTGCACCAGCGCTGAGGCACCAGAGGCAGAGACACCAGCGGCAACGACATCATGACCACGGTACGTTGTTTTTTCAAAAGAGAAAAGCAGAAGGAAACTTCCACGATTCAATTCCAACACCGCCCTAAATTAAGGCGACTGTTCGCAGTCCCAGCTAGCTGGCACGAGGCGACAGCTAGCATGCACTCAGCTGTCCACGCGCCGACAGCTAGCTGTCAGCGAACGACTTGGTAGATAATGCGAAAGTGACCTTGTAGCAGTCAGCGCGCGGACACCGCGCAGACCGCTGGTTTATAACGCGTGCTAAACGAGCTGTAACTAAGCAGTCTGACGGTGGTTAGCTCGATGACACATAATTTATGTTGCCATTGTAAACGATATCTAATGAGCAACACTTAAAGCCCATATTTGAATTATATTCTTTTTTCCGGGTTCCCACCCGGACCCAGAGTCGTTTAAGTGAGCTAAGACCTCTAAAAGTGGAAAAGTGAAGCGTGGCGGCAAGGATCTCTAGTGACCACGCATCAGTCGACGCGCAATGTGCAAGCCCCCCAACAGGTGGATTGACGAACTACGAACTATTGATCGCGGGAGGGAAGGGTGCCAAATTGGAGCAATATGTATCTCGAAAACAAAGACAGATACAAATCTTGGAGTCTCAGCGATTTATTCCAATACGATCTCCATTTTTTAAGGTTTCAATGCCTCTTATAACAGTAATTAGGAGGACTGTAGGTATGCTTCATATTACTGTTTTCGAAACAAAATATATGTACATCTATTTGTGGAGGTAGACATAGTGACATTATCGTACTGCTATATCTACAGGTGCAACAAGCGCAGGGAACGCAGCAACCAATTCCAGTGCAGAAGCGGGCATGCGATGTCTGGTGGTGGGGGGAGCGCGCGTAGGTGGGGGAAGGTGGGCATCGGCGCACGCGCAGCTCAAGGAGGCCGAGCTGGTCGCCGATATGTTGAGAGTTACACCACTCACCGACTACCAGGTCAGTCATTATCAGCAACAAGCTCAGGGACTGTAACCAATGGTAATGCAGAAGCGGGCATGCGATGTATGGTGGTGGGCGAAGCGCGTGTAGGTGGCAGTCGAGCTGGTCGCTGATATGCTGAGCGTTACACCGCTCACTGATTACCAGGTCATTCATTATATCTACAGGCGTAGGGACTGCATTTTCTCTTTAACAGAAACTCAACACCACTAACAGCTGTACTCAGATACGTCAAATATTGAAGCATTAAATAAAATAAGTTACATCTCATTACTGTTGCACAAAAAGAGACAGCACCAATTTTAGTCAAACTTAAAAGTTCGACTTTAGTGACTGCGGCCAAAAAGGTTCATTTTACTGCAGTGCAGTAAAATAAAGTTTACTGTCCCAGACGGATACTAAAAAAACTGTAACCCCGCTATGCTCTATATACCTCTGTTGAAAATATACCGGCTACATGCATGTTTGTGCTGTTATTAAAATCGACTTTCTGTTACAGGCGTCAAAGGAAGCAGTAATCGCGCAACTGCCAATGGCAGAATGCGTACATTTTGCGACACACATTTGTTGGAAGACTCCTGCTATAGTGCTCAGTCCCGGCGAAGTAGTCAGTATTTTCGGCATTAACCTTCTTTGACTATCTTCAACATATAATTTGAACGATAACTTTACATAAAACCGTTCTTCGCTACAGGTTGACTCCCAAGCTAAACGACTTTTGAACACTAGTGTTGGTAGTGGAACCGCAGATGTTTCAACTGAAAACGAAGAAGAAAGTAAGTATCACAAATATACAACCTCTAAATTATACTCATCAGAAAGATCTAAGCAACATGTTGTACGGTTTTGAATTTTTGAACATTTTTACTACTGTAATATACAACAGCTATTATCAACACAAACGAATAGTTTATATTTTTAAAATCAGCCTAATTTATAGTTTCTGAAAATGATGGGTAATTGTTAAACTTTTTGCTGTGTGTTAAAAAAAATATTACGTGTTATGCTCCTATTTTATATTTATTTCATTTTCTTGAAGATGCGGAAATACCACCGAGCAACGAGGAATTACCTCCAGCTGCCGAATTCATGCTGTCTGCATCAGAGATCATGAATTTGAAGATTACTGCCAGGCTGGTTAGTATAGTATACACGAAAAAGATGTTTGATTAATTTCATAATTCTCTAGTTAGCCTAGAGATTAGTAATATTACAAGTCTTTTGATTGTAAATTATTATTTCTTAAAGGATTTATTGGAGTAATTATGGTTGCAATTTTGCAGGTGGTCATATCATGTGCTCCATCAAGTGCAGCACTTCAAGGTGCATCCGCGGAAGAAACAGAAGACATTAACGCCGCAGGAGCAGGCATATCGCGGCTCTGTAAAGCCCTTCTAATGGCTGGAGCTCAGGCTGTCTTACTGACATTATGCCCAGCACCTCAAGACACTGCGACGAAGATTCTCTATAGGGCCTTGTATTCGGCTTTGTTGCAAGGCAGCAGAGTAGCTAAGTATGTGATTTATTTTTTTCCTTAAATTGTGGATTCGTGAGGTGATTCTGCCGATAGACAGATAAGATTTAATAGAAACAAGTCTCAGACAGTCAGCCTCCTGAATTAAAAGATGTTAGAAAACCATCAGAAAAGTAAATAATGATATCCCTCCATATTCCACTTACTCCAGCTATCAAATGTATTCCACAGAGCACTCGGTGATGCGATGCAGACAGTACGTCATACGAAGCATTTCGCTCATCCCGCGCATTGGTCTGGACTGGTACTGCTCGGGGCTAATGTAAGACTCAGTAACAAAGTAGCACTGATGGGGCAAGCTCTGTGCGAACTGCTTGCCGCGCCTGATAAATGCAGGTGAATTATACTTTAAAATGAAATTTTAAAACCAGGTTAAAAGTAGGTGAACCCATAAACGTTAAATGAAGCTTGAACAAGCTTTCAGGTTGCTTTGAATGATTTGGTCGTATAGAAATAAAATTATAATAGAGAAACTGAGGGGAAATTGTACCAACATTTTTAATTCCATGAAAATTAAAGACAACCCTGTTTAACACATCATCCATCTTTGTCAATTGTTTGAAATAGAAATTAATAGGCATGCGACTTAAATAAGATCAGCTTTTAAAATTGTTTAAAATCCTTTGTGCAAGTGGGCCTAAAATTCTAAAAAGACACTGGGCAAAAATATATGGACGCTGCTCCCACGCCCGCCACGGCTTAAACTACATTTTGTTTGTAAGGTATTATAGTCATGATCATCTGTGCTAAAGCGCATCAAATTCCATCTCAGGGATTTTTAGTAATTTTAAGTTAAAAAGGTACAAATACTATAACGAACGAACATTAATGAAACAAGGGAATTAATTTAGTTAGTTCGACCATACATAAAGCGCTCAGATATTATGGGAATACTTCACAAGGTGCAAGGGTGCTCCCTTAAATTATTCTGCCGAACTAGAGTAAATCCATAATTCCCCGCTTGGGTTGTTTTTTTTTCAAACTGTCTGTTCGCTATAGTGAATGGTTTTCTACGTAAAATGAAGCGACCACAAATCACACAAACTTGTATACGCCTCGGAGAAAACATGATTCCAATTCATCCATACTAATTCACAAAACCGATAATCGTATATTGTTTTAAACTTTCATGGTCACTAACATTATAGCTATTAACGGGATTGTTACCATGTACCTTGTTTTGCCGAAATATCGGAGACTCATAATAAACAAGGTACATGGTAACAATCCCGTTAATAGCTATAACCGATAATCGTGTTCCAATCACAACGAAGTCAGACGAAGGACTGCATAGGATTCGTCAAATTGCAACTGCAAGTCCATCAACCTCCGTACCCCTACCCTGTAAACCGTGTCTCATTAAGTGCAAGCGCATAATGGTCGGCAGGCTTTGTCGTATAGTACACTGAGGCACATTATTATGGTTTCTAATAATATAAAATGAAGATACAATAAATAAAATTATTAGCTACTTAAATATGTCCATGTGTCATATCTTTCGATTACCAGAATTTTTTAAGGTGTCATTATAAAATATGACTAATTTTTCATAGATCATTCGATTCATAAAATTACATTGTTGGCGGAGCTTTTTGCCCATTGTCCTTTAGATTCAATTTCATTCAATTCAGATAGATGTTAAAAAGTGTTAGTAACAAATTAATAAATAAAATTATCTGACATGTAATTACAACTACAGTAATCGTCACTTGATTTTCTGTAGTATATCACACATTGACGATCTTATTTCAGGGATGCGTTACGTGTATGCCTGCATTTGGTAGAGAAATCATTGCAAAGGATAGTGAGAGGACAAAAGAATGCGATGTACACCACACAAAAGAGTATAGAGAACAAAGCAGGAATCGCGACAGGGTGGAGAGAACTACTTATGAGCGTTGGCTTCAGGTAAAGCATTGGATAAAGTTCTACATTTTGATACTCATAATAATATTTTTAATGTTGTTCCCATATCTTCACAGCTAAAAGAATCATGTTTATGTTAACACAAATGAGAAATTTTCATCACAATTTTATATTCATCATCAATCCCTTTACAGATTTGAACCAGCTGCTAATGGAATACCGTCAAGTGTGTTCTTCCCTCAGAGTGATCCAGAAGAGCGTTTGACTCAGTGTTCGGCAAGTCTACAAGCATTATTAGGTAAATAGATAGCTACCAAGTATTATATGGGGGTTGACTTAGCAAATTATAAAAAGCCCTTTTAATTCGTTTATTTATTGTACACCACGAAAAACATTGAAAATTAAGCACAGAACCATACCAAACCAACCAAGTGATGGAATGGGCGGCCTTATCGCTTAAAACGATCTCTTCCAGGCAACCTTTGGTTGCAGAGTATTAGGGGGAAGTTGGAGAGACGGCGGTGTAAATCGCCAGTATAATATAATCTATTAGTAAATATATACATACACTATACACATATACAGGCAGGGGCGGTTTATGCACTAGGCCCGCTAGGCCCGAGCCTAGGGCGCCGTGGCAGAAGGGGGCGCCACGGGCCGATAAATTTGAAAGATTAAAAGCGAGAAAGCGAACGTTTTAATCGGGTCCACTCAAACGTCAATATCGCCAATATAAAATATATATGTGCTCCATTCCTACCCACAAACCTACATAATATATGTATGATTGAAATTCTGTTTCCGTTAAATTATTTTTGAACTACACTCCCGCTCAAAAGTATGGGTTCACTTCTCGAAATTTTCAGCTCCGGTATAAGTTCCATATCTTGGTGGAAAAAGGTCGTAAGAGAATTTAATGAGCACCGTTTTGAAGGGGACAGTTTTAGCTTCACTTTGCCATTTTTTATAATTTTTTACAATTTTTTTTATAGTCCCCACGCGCTTTTGAACATGGCAGTTTTTCGATGTTTTTTTGCCCTCTGGAAACGGACTGTCTGGCTGTTAAAAAATTTTCCTCGCAATTTCATTCATCGCAGTTTCAAAGAGGATATTAAACACTGCATTTTTGTTTTTGAAAAAGTATCGTGCGATTTTTTTTACCAAAAATATTCTAATTTTCGACAAAAATTGATAATTTTATTCAATTCGGCGTATCTTGAAAACGGCGGGTGATCGAAGAAAATAGCAAGGGGGTGAAAAGTTGCAATAGATCATGATGGACCTTGTAGATCTATTTCAGATTTTTTTTCCGACATTTGTTTTTTCATACTCTTGCAGTCGAAATGATTTAAATTTTCTCATGATTTTTTCTTTTTTTTAGACGGCGCAGGCATTTCTTTTATTGGTTTTATAACCATCTTGACGTAATTTTTACTAAAAATCAAATTTCGCACAATTTTTTGTACGTTTTTTTCATTTAAAAAAATTAATTTTTAGTTCAAATTACGTCAAGATGAAGATGAAACCAATAAAAGCAATGCCTCAGACGTTTAGAAAAAAGAAAGAATCATGGGAAAATTAAAATCATTTCGACTCCACGAGTATGGAAAAACAAATGTCGGAAAAAAATTCTGAAATAAATCTACCATGTCCATCATGATCTATTGCAACTTTTCACCCTCTTGCTATTTTCTTCGATCACCCGCCGTTTTCAAGATACGCCGAATTGAATAAAATTATCAATTTTTGTCGAAAATTAGAATATTTTTGGTAAAAAAAATCGCACGATACTTCTTCAAAAACGAAAATGCAGTGTTTAATATCCTCTTTCAAACTGCGATGGATAAAATTGCAAGGAAAATTTTTTAACAGCCAGACAGCCCGTTCCCAGAGGACAAAAAAACATCGAAAAACTGCCATGTTCAAAAGCGCGTGGGGACTATAAAAAAATTGTAAAAAATTATAAAAAATGGCAAAGTGAAGCTAAAACTGTCCCCTTCAAAACGGTGCTCATTAAATTCTCTTACGATCTTTTTCCACCAAGATATGGAACTTATACCGAAGCTGAAAATTTCGAGACGTGAACCCATACTTTTGAGCGGGAGTGTATAAAAATCATTTATTCTAGCCTGTGCTTTTTCAACTATTTGGGGAGAGGGGGCTCTCCTCTCGGCATCATCTGGTCGTATACAAGGCTTTTCATTATTATGTGTGGGGTCATATGAAAAGCCTTGTATACGACCAGATGATGCCGATCGCAAATATCGATATTTTGCGACAAAGGATTATTGATGCGGCTGAGGATATGAGGCGGAACTTAAAAACTTATGTAGTAAAAAGTAATTTAAGAAAAAGATTGAGAATATATTGTGTTAGAAATTGCGGCGGCCATGTTGAACATGAATTATAATTTTGAGCAGCTCGATGGCGCAAGTGGTTAGCGCGTTCGGCTGCGATCGTTGAACTTAAGCAACTTTCGCAGTGGTCGGTCATTGGATGGGTGACCAAAAATTACTATCTCGAGCTCCTCCGTGCTTCGGAAGGCACGTTAAGCCGTTGGTCCCGGCCGCATCTGCAGTCGTTAGCACCCACCAATCCGCACTGGGCCCGCGTGGTGGGTCATGACCCAATCTCCCTATTCAATCAATAGGGAAGGCCTGTGCCTCAGCAGTAGGCACATTAATAGGCTGGTGATGATGATGATAATGCTTTTCTGGTTTTATTTACGTATTTTTGCTATTTTTACCTCAAACTAAAAATGTACCCTCTGCTACCATAACTGTTATTTGGTCAATGTTTTGCCAATTTAATAGCAAGTGTTTAGCTAAAGAGACGTAGAAGTTTTTAAAATTATTTGCAGAATAAGTTCCATACATTTTTTTTTAGAAAAGCGCTTCAAAGTTAAGGACACTTGGTGAAAATTATCTAGTTATAACCGTTGTCGGGCAGTTTTTTTAAGCCGTTAGAAGTAGGTTCAGTTTTTATTCATTATTTTTATTGCTTGACATGTCTTCTAACTAGATACATTAAAAAATCGAACCTTTGGAGCTCTAGTTTCAAAAAAAGCGACAATAACCCAAAAAAAATAGGATTTTTTAAAAAAATCTTTAATATCCAATATCTCCATAACCGTTAAGTTTCGGACACCATATTATAGGACCAAATCCATCAGAAATAACCTGAATAATAACGTCCTTCAATATTCAGTACGACTTTCCCTGTAACCCTGTATATGTGTGTATGGTGTATTATACATATATATATACTAGCGGACCCGACAGACGTTGTCCTGTCTACACGTCTTTGTGAATCTAAACCATTCTCAGATCCCCTTGAACACACACAAAAAATTTCATCAAAATCGGTCCAGTCGTTTAAGAGAAGTTCAGTGACATACACACTCACAGAAGAATTATATATATAAAGATATACATACATACTTACAATAAGTATAAATACAAAGACATACATTGATCTAGTCCAGTTTGTAGAAAGCACATGAGATATAAAAACAAAACTATTACAATGTCAGATAGTGGGACTTCACAAGGTTTTTAAATGCATAAATAGTTTCCGCACGTCTGATTGAAACCGGAAGAGAATTCCATAGATGTATGGATTGCACTGCAAACGAACGGTGGAAAAATGTTGTGCCGTGTACGGGAGTCGCAGAGCAACATTTTTCCACCGTTCGTTTGCAGTGCAATCCATACATCTATGGAATTCTCTTCCGGTTTCAATCAGACGTGCGGAAACTATTTATGCATTTAAAAACCTTGTGAAGTCCCACTATCTGACATTGTAATAGTTTTGTTTTTATATCTCATGTGCTTTCTACAAACTGGACTAGATCAATGTATGTCTTTGTATTTATACTTATTGTAAGTATGTATGTATATCTTTATATATATAATTCTTCTGTGAGTGTGTATGTCACTGAACTTCTCTTAAACGACTGGACCGATTTTGATGAAATTTTTTGTGTGTGTTCAAGGGGATCTGAGAATGGTTTAGATTCACAAAGACGTGTAGACAGGACAACGTCTGTCGGGTCCGCTAGTATATATATATGTATAATACACCATACACACATATACAGGGTTACAGGGAAAGTCGTACTGAATATTGAAGGACGTTATTATTCAGGTTATTTCTGATGGATTTGGTCCTATAATATGGTGTCCGAAACTTAACGGTTATGGAGATATTGGATATTAAAGATTTTTTTAAAAAATCCTATTTTTTTTGGGTTATTGTCGCTTTTTTTGAAACTAGAGCTCCAAAGGTTCGATTTTTTAATGTATCTAGTTAGAAGACATGTCAAGCAATAAAAATAATGAATAAAAACTGAACCTACTTCTAACGGCTTAAAAAAACTGCCCGACAACGGTTATAACTAGATAATTTTCACCAAGTGTCCTTAACTTTGAAGCGCTTTTCTAAAAAAAAATGTATGGAACTTATTCTGCAAATAATTTTAAAAACTTCTACGTCTCTTTAGCTAAACACTTGCTATTAAATTGGCAAAACATTGACCAAATAACAGTTATGGTAGCAGAGGGTACATTTTTAGTTTGAGGTAAAAATAGCAAAAATACGTAAATAAAACCAGAAAAGCATTATCATCATCATCACCAGCCTATTAATGTGCCTACTGCTGAGGCACAGGCCTTCCCTATTGATTGAATAGGGAGATTGGGTCATGACCCACCACGCGGGCCCAGTGCGGATTGGTGGGTGCTAACGACTGCAGATGCGGCCGGGACCAACGGCTTAACGTGCCTTCCGAAGCACGGAGGAGCTCGAGATAGTAATTTTTGGTCACCCATCCAATGACCGACCACTGCGAAAGTTGCTTAAGTTCAACGATCGCAGCCGAACGCGCTAACCACTTGCGCCATCGAGCTGCTCAAAATTATAATTCATGTTCAACATGGCCGCCGCTATTTCTAACACAATATATTCTCAATCTTTTTCTTAAATTACTTTTTACTACATAAGTTTTTAAGTTCCGCCTCATATCCTCAGCCGCATCAATAATCCTTTGTCGCAAAATATCGATATTTGCGATCGGCATCATCTGGTCGTATACAAGGCTTTTCATATGACCCCACACATAATAATGAAAAGCCTTGTATACGACCAGATGATGCCGAGAGGAGAGCCCCCTCTCCCCAAATAGTTGAAAAAGCACAGGCTAGAATAAATGATTTTTATACACTCCCGCTCAAAAGTATGGGTTCACGTCTCGAAATTTTCAGCTTCGGTATAAGTTCCATATCTTGGTGGAAAAAGATCGTAAGAGAATTTAATGAGCACCGTTTTGAAGGGGACAGTTTTAGCTTCACTTTGCCATTTTTTATAATTTTTTACAATTTTTTTATAGTCCCCACGCGCTTTTGAACATGGCAGTTTTTCGATGTTTTTTTGTCCTCTGGGAACGGGCTGTCTGGCTGTTAAAAAATTTTCCTTGCAATTTTATCCATCGCAGTTTGAAAGAGGATATTAAACACTGCATTTTCGTTTTTGAAGAAGTATCGTGCGATTTTTTTTACCAAAAATATTCTAATTTTCGACAAAAATTGATAATTTTATTCAATTCGGCGTATCTTGAAAACGGCGGGTGATCGAAGAAAATAGCAAGAGGGTGAAAAGTTGCAATAGATCATGATGGACATGGTAGATTTATTTCAGAATTTTTTTCCGACATTTGTTTTTCCATACTCGTGGAGTCGAAATGATTTTAATTTTCCCATGATTCTTTCTTTTTTCTAAACGTCTGAGGCATTGCTTTTATTGGTTTCATCTTCATCTTGACGTAATTTGAACTAAAAATTAATTTTTTTAAATGAAAAAAACGTACAAAAAATTGTGCGAAATTTGATTTTTAGTAAAAATTACGTCAAGATGGTTATAAAACCAATAAAAGAAATGCCTGCGCCGTCTAAAAAAAAGAAAAAATCATGAGAAAATTTAAATCATTTCGACTGCAAGAGTATGAAAAAACAAATGTCGGAAAAAAAATCTGAAATAGATCTACAAGGTCCATCATGATCTATTGCAACTTTTCACCCCCTTGCTATTTTATTTTACCTCAAACTAAAAATGTACCCTCTGCTACCATAACTGTTATTTGGTCAATGTTTTGCCAATTTAATAGCAAGTGTTTAGCTAAAGAGACGTAGAAGTTTTTAAAATTATTTGCAGAATAAGTTCCATACATTTTTTTTTAGAAAAGCCCTTAAAGTTAAGGACACTTGGTGAAAATTATCTAGTTATAACCGTTGTCGGGCAGTTTTTTTAAGCCGTTAGAAGTAGGTTCAGTTTTTATTCATTATTTTTATTGCTTGACATGTCTTCTAACTAGATACATTAAAAAATCGAACCTTTGGAGCTCTAGTTTCAAAAAAAGCGACAATAACCCAAAAAAAATAGGATTTTTTAAAAAAATCTTTAATATCCAATATCTCCATAACCGTTAAGTTTCGGACACCATATTATAGGACCAAATCCATCAGAAATAACCTGAATAATAACGTCCTTCAATATTCAGTACGACTTTCCCTGTAACCCTGTATATGTGTGTATGGTGTATTATACATATATATATACTAGCGGACCCGACAGACGTTGTCCTGTCTACACGTCTTTGTGAATCTAAACCATTCTCAGATCCCCTTGAACACACACAAAAAATTTCATCAAAATCGGTCCAGTCGTTTAAGAGAAGTTCAGTGACATACACACTCACAGAAGAATTATATATATAAAGATATACATACATACTTACAATAAGTATAAATACAAAGACATACATTGATCTAGTCCAGTTTGTAGAAAGCACATGAGATATAAAAACAAAACTATTACAATGTCAGATAGTGGGACTTCACAAGGTTTTTAAATGCATAAATAGTTTCCGCACGTCTGATTGAAACCGGAAGAGAATTCCATAGATGTATGGATTGCACTGCAAACGAACGGTGGAAAAATGTTGTGCCGTGTACGGGAGTCGCAGAGCAACATTTTCTGATGAGCTTAAAGATAACGTGTTAGAATTATGAAGGAAATTAACATGGACCTGGGATTTAACAATATGTTGTAAAGAAGAGAAAGGATATGAGTATTACGGCGAAGGAATATCACTATAGCTGAGATGTTAATAAATCAAAACTCGTGGCTTATTAGTGCCTTGTGGAACCCTATTATTAATTTATTTACTAATATTAATTCACTTACTGAATATCAATTCACTTTTATTATGAATACGAGCATTTGTATTCATGGATGTTAATATGTATTTCTATATGAATGTACTTATATATATATCAGTTTATGTATTCTATCCATTACCCTTTTATCCCATAACAAAAACCTACAGTGTTTGCTTTGGAGCTAGTTGAATTGGTGTGAGTGTTGGAAATATTTATTTATTATCAAAAAGTCCAGTAAAATTAGACAGAAAAATAAGAGTGAAGGTATATAAATGTATATCAAGCTGGTAGTGTGTAAAATTGTTTAAAGCATAATTTAAAAAAAAATCGAAAAAAAAATTACGCCAGGTCAAAGGTCAAAAAGTGGGATTTTCGTGATTTTCATCAAAACGGTAAATTTTATCGTAAAATTACCTGAGACAAAAACTGTAGGTCATAAAATTATCTATAAAAAAGGTATCAATATTTTTTTTCTAAAAGCCACCGTTCCTTATTTCTCGATTATAAAAGTGGTGTTTCGGGACGAGGGGGAATTTTGAAAAGTTATTTTTAATTATGTTTTGAAGAATATTTTCTCACTTCCAGCTTGATAGTAATTTATGTACATTTGAATGTCTGGATTGACCGGACTAAACGTGCATTGATACTATTTTTCAAAAATATTTAAGAATAATTAAAATGAAATACCAATTTGTTTGCCATACTAGGTTTAAGCCCGACTACACTCCAAGCTCTCTCGAAACTGATCTCGAACGGCGACGTGGCAGACGACATCATCGGTGTCATCAGATCTGTCATTTCGCAGTTCTCCGTCAAGAACTCAGACACGGACACCATCGAAGTGGCGGTTAATGTCAGGTCAGTATGGATATTTAAAATAATAGTCATATCATTTGAAGCATCTAACTTGGCTGTTCCCTACAAGTGCGCCAGTTTTTTTTATCAAAGCCTGTCACAATATGTCACTCAACTTTATGTTAATCGATCACCTCTGATGTGAGTAGTAGGTACATACAACTGTGTTCGGTCGCTACTACTTAGAGCTTCATATCCGGCTAAAGCAAATGTTTGTATGATGAATATAAGAATTTGCACCTAAGTCGAATATACCTACTTATATTATCTATCATTATAAAACGTATTAATTCGTTATCCTAGTATCCCATCATACAAGTCTTACAGTGCTTACTAACCTTAGAGCTAGACCATAAGTTTAACAGCTCTATCTAAGAAAGACAATGGCTGTGGCTCCTTATACCAGCATAGCATCAATCTGAAATGAAAGAGAAAATACATATGATATAAGAGAGAATACATTTCATTACCAGACTGTGGCGCGTGAACGGATGCCACGAGCTACTGGCTTCGCTCGGCTTCGATCTGGCGGAGGTCGGCCAGGATGAAGTGAACCTGCGCACCGGGAACAAGGCAAACCGCCGCCACATCCAGTTCGTTTTGCAGGCGCTGCTCGCCCTCTTCGGTGAGTTCTTCTTTTTAACTTTGGCCTCGGCCAAATTTCGATCTGACGGAGCTTCGATCTAACGGAGGTGGACTAGAACGAGGTGACCCTGTGCACCGGGATCAAAGCCAACCGCTGCAACATACAGTTCGTGCTGCAGGCGCTGCTGGCCCTCTTCGGTGAGAGCTTCATATTATCGTTGTCCTCGATTGGCTTCGATCTGGTGGAGGTTGGCCAGGGCGAGGTGACTCTGCGTATAGGGAACAAGACCAAGCGCTGCCACATACAGTTCGTGATGCTGGTGTTGCTGGCCCACTTCGATGAGTGCTTCATATTAACGTTGGCCTCGCTGGGCTTCGATCTGGCGGAGATGGGCTAGGACAAGGTGACCCTGCGTATCAGGAAAAGGCCAATTCATGCTGCAGGCGCTGAAGGGTGTTTCATTTTATTAGGCAAAAAAAAAATATTTTTTTTGCAGACTTTGCTCTCCCCCCGAGTCTCAATGATATAAAACTTATACATGCCAAATTTCAAGAAGATTACATAAAATTTAGAGGTTTCACAGATTGATCACTTTTGAAAAAAAATAACTTAAATTAGCATGACGAAATTTAAAATTTTTAAAAAGACTAAGAATTATGTTTGAACATAAAATCAAATTTTATGTTTGTACATATAACAAACATAAAATCAAATTTAAATATAAACTAAAATAAGAGCGCATCACAGTCGTCCTATATTAACCAACTTTGTATCACACAATTCCTTCTTTCGACCACTTGGTTATTTTTTTCCTGTAATTTCGCCGATTCTTAACAGCCACTGTTTTAGTTCCAAAAAAATCCTGTTTCTGCATGATCATTGTTTTTTTTAATTCCCAGACCCAAAACGATCGCGGAATTAAAAAAATCTGTTTTATTGGCATGTTAAATATTTCGTTAAATTTTGTTGACATCCTGAATAACTTCAGCTAAAAACGGCAATCCTATGTTTGTTTCTGTCTGACAAATATCGATGTAAGGTGTTTTATTGTTTGGCAACTGCAAGAGCATTTTATTTGACGTTGGTATTGGGGTAAGTGCTCCGAAAGCTATAGCATTTCCAGACAATTCTTTAGAGCCATACGGCTAATAGTTCATTATTGCCACAGCGAATTTCTTAAAATTCTCGTTAAGTCATATACTTTGGTGAAATTGACCATTTTCATTGCAAATATACATTGCCTACGTCATCCACCTCTTTTGATTTAAGGAATTTGAGGTCCGGATTTTTTTTTATTTATTTATTAGTTGAACCTTCTAGATAATGAAGTGGTAGCTGTAATAACTTTCAGGTCTTCTTTTGGAAACTTCTATATTTGAGAACATTTCGTGTGTAGTAGTTCCGTCGCTAGTTTCGCATCAAGAAACCCATGATCCGAAATCTCATCATCCTGTTAATTATCATATATGGCTTTTTTATCAAGTAAATTTTGGAACTTATGAACCAAAATCTCATCATCCTGTTAATTATCGTATGTGGCTTTTTATCAAGTAAATCAAAGATACTTTGGAACCTCCGGAAAATAGGGATGTCAGGATCCCTGGATGGTGATTTACAACCATATACAACACTCATTAAAAAGAAAAAAACAAAATCTCTTAAAAAATCGAAAATTAGATGACACTGTTTTGAATTAATTAGAATTTTCTAGATTAGATGGGACAAATTTTATATTAAAATGTCCGGTTTAGGACTCTAAACATACATTATTACAAAACATTTCAGTATAACGTATTTCACTACTGCGAGAAAAAAGTGGCCAATATGTGCAATCTCTAAATATTCTTCAATCTTTATGAAATTTGGCCTACATGGCTTTTGTACTAGTGAGACTCCAAGGATAATCAATGTCACATGAAAATCAAAGTTTTTGGGATAATGAAATACCCTGAGGCGCTTCATGCTCTTTTTTGGTAAGTACTACAAATTTGAAATAACTAGCTCATGCAACCAGGTATTATCTAAATAAAGCATATTGTATTGGATACCTTCATTTAAAAAGGCCCATAAAGGTCAGGTTCAGGTTATAAAAATAAGACATTTTCATTACATATTATGTCTCCACGGATGTATACTTTTTTTAGTCCAAAATTTTTTGATTTGTATAACCTCGTATATTTATATTGGTATAACCTTCTGATGAACACGAAAAGAACAAAAAATACCTGTGTCCATACCGAATATTTTATTTTACTGCGTTTTCTATAAACAGAATGTTTCTTCTCTTAACAGACACTCAAGAGGCACCTCGCAGCCTGAGTCTAGAGTCAAGCTCAAGCGTGGAATCTCTGGCGTCCATTGACGATGGTGATCTCGAACCACACTCGGACGGGGAACCACCGCCCAGGCAACACAGACGTAAGTATTTTAATATTACATGGCTAATTTTCCAACAAATAAAAAATGAAGATAGTCTTTCAAATGTTTAATACTTGTAAAAGTATTCATTTGACATTGTGGGTTACTTATAATGCGAAGAGATGGCGCGGCCTTGCAGCTTAAGAATGGCTGGAAGAATTTCGACGCGGTCCGTGAGGTCCGAGGTAGCATAATTGGTCAGTGCATTCGCCCGGATTGCGAAGGGTGCAGGTTCGAGTCCGGTCTGCTGCCTGGTCCACGTGGAATTTTTTCTAGTCATATTTTCTTCAGATTAAACAACAAGCAGTTACATGCTTTAAAAAATAATACAAATTATAACTATAATTGCTATTTCTTCTTTCAAATGATACTTGTAAAAGTATTCATTTGACATTGTGGGTTACCTATATTGCGAAGAGATGGCAATGCCTTGCAGCTTAAGAATGGCTGGAAGAATTTCGACGCGGTCCGTGAGGGCCGCGGTAGCATAATTGGTCAGTGCATTCGCCCGGATTGCGAAGGGTGTGGGTTCGAGTCCCGTCTGCTACCTGGTTCGCGTGGAATTTTTCTTAAGAAGATAGTGTTTAATTTTTCATTAGATTTTTTGCATGTTTCTATCCTTACAACATTTATTATTACAATTTAACGGTTTTTTTAGTAAATTGAAGTTTTTTGGTATTGTAACCATCGTTAGGTTAGGAGTAATAATACTATTCAATCTCTATGTAACAGTTAATCGATTATAAAGCTTTTATTTTGGTTTTATTTATACAGAGGAAAGCGTATCGTCCGTGCCTCCACCACCGCTGCCGCTCGGCTCTTGTGGGGGAGCCTTCACGATGTACGTCCGCAGCGGTGGCGAGGCGGGGCGAGGCGAGCCGGACGGGCGCACCGCCCCGCCCCCCGCGCCCGCCCCCGCGCCTCCGCCACCACGATACCGCGGCGAGAGCGACGCCGCTTTCACTCCCTCCCCACCAGCTGCCCCTGCTGCACCCCCGCGCGACGTATCCCTGGCACTGGCGCACCAAACGAAAATCAGAACCTTATATACTCGTCGCCCGCCCTCCGACGACTCCGACTGGGAAAGCTCCGGACACGACACTGTCCTCCGCCGTCGACCGGACCACGCGCACGCCAGGTACCTAGATGCTTTCTACGAACTAGCATCTGCCCAACCTCGCCGAACTGACGAAGAGAAGACCGATCAAGCCCAACCTTCCACGTCGAAAAGAGTTCCACGGCCGAAAATGGGAACGAGCAGCAGAGATTCTATGGCGCAAGTCCGCCACATGAGCGGTGAGTTGACGCCGACGATATCCGAAGTATACCACGAGAGGAATATAGGGTTAGGACTCGCACCACCGCTAGCAGAACTTCTACTCGCAGAGGAGTCAAAGACAGAAATGCGAGCGGCGAGCTCCAGTGAAAACTTACTCCTCCAGAATTTGGAGAAGCTCGGACTTTTGGGAGATGCAAACGAATCCGACGAGAGATGGACCTCGAGACCGTGGCTGTCCGCTCCACCGCTAGAAACGGACGTCCAAGGTTCAGACCTGACTACGGCAGAAATAATCGAGCGTCAGACGAAATTCAAGAAAGACGTCGAGCCGAAAAGGAAAGAGGAAAACGCTTACGAATTGAAACCCAAAGAAGAAATGCCGGGACCGAGCGGAATAGAGAAGAGGTCCGTATCTCCTTTCTCTGAACTCTCCCGCAGAGATGAGGGAGATGGTAGAAGTATAGCAGACTCTCACTCGTCGTACAAAGCCCTAGTACTGAGCCCTCGGGCGCCGTATTTGCCCGAGGAAGGTCAACCAGGTATGAGCACATCGGAAGGAGGCAAAACTCATCCGCGGCCGCGCAGGCCTCCCGTTCCGAGAACAAGACCAGCTTACACAACATTAGACTTTCCACCAAATAAGTGAAATTTGAGTATTATTAAACATCATGATTTTGATCCTCGTTAAGAATAAATACAAATCGTCCTTAAAGTGTTCCTCAAGCTTCAACTCCTAGAATCGCCAACCAAAATTTCTCTCTGTTTATCGTAGGTCATTCAATATTATAATGTAAAATGAAAAAACTGTCATAGATTATATTATCGTTTTTGTCATCTATTATAATGCAGTTTATAGATAGTGAAATTGCTCAAGTCGCTAAACTAAATCTCATAATACTCATAATGAAAAATAAACTCATCGGAGTATTACATATTTTGTAAAATGCTGTGTTTTAAATGCAAATAAATGTATGATACGATGTTATAAAAATGATATAATGAGTAAATTTTAATAACAGCTTGTTCCAATAGTCTAAAGTTCTTTTTATACTAATGTAAAGTTAGGAAATAGTTTTTTTTGCTTATATATTTTTATAATATATAACATTGTGTATACAATTTTTAATGCTGGCTATGACGTTCACAGTTATTTATTATTAAAACTTTTAAAATCTTTTGTTTTATTAAGATCATATTCTTAGGATGAAGTAAGTTTAGTAGTGTCTATCGCTATAGACAAAATCGCATTGTAATATAAAAAAGTCACATTTACAGTTAATTATACGTGAAAATTATTTATTAATTTTATATTTATTATGAAATACTTCCTAGAATAATGTTTATATTCATTATCTGGTCGCTTTATCAGTAGCTAATAGCTAAGTGTAATTAGTACTTTTATGCTATTTGTCAGAAAAGATAATTTGTCTTACATTTAAATTCGACATACTTATATTATAAAGTTCTTGCCATTATACATGTATATAATTAATTACATTGTAAAGTTTAAATATAAATTAAAATTATTCATAAATCATGGACTATAATTTTTTTCGACTTCCGAAATTCCATATTTTCATTTTTTTTTTATTTATTCTTCGCTAGGTCGTCGTTGATACCAAGACGTAATGTAGTTTGCACCTACGTTAACTATAAAAAATACGTAGCGAGCTTAGGTAAATAATTATAAAAGAAAATATGTGAAAAGTTTTGTCCAAGATATGATAGTCTGGTAAATGAAAATATTCAGCAACACTGCCTAGAATGTCACCATAGGGTTGCAACGCTATATCGGAATATCGATAATATCGACACCAAAATATCGATATTTATATCGATATTTAAAATTTACTGATATCGATATCGGAAATTCCAAAATATCGATATTTCGTAGACTAAATTTGAACACAATAATATCAATTAGTTTACCTGCTATGACTATCTAAATTGAATAATATCGAAATAACTATTGCTTTGAAATCGCAAGAGCTTATAGATGTATTAAAAACCCCAAGAAATATACTAAACTGGTGTGGATTCTGGCGTGATTCTTTATACCTAAAATTAAATTTGACAACAGTGTATCTTTGTCATTCTCTATACAGAATGAAAAGGAGAGACTGATGTTAAATTTAGTTTTAAGTTTAGATAATCATGCCAGAATCGACACCAGTTTAGTATATTTCTTGGGGTTTTTAATACATCTATAAGCTCTTGCGATTTCAAAGCAATAGTTATTTCGACATATAGGCATAATCGTATACCTAATGGTAACTCATGCACTTAAATAAAATCCTTGCCTCTCTTGCTAGATAATTGTCAACTACTGATTAATTGAAATTTAATATCATTGTAATATAACACAAAATAAAATTGAGAATCTTAAACAAATCGTAAATTTTTAAGCTCGCCAAGTCAAGAAAGTAAGATAGGTATAGTAATTTTGGAAGCTTTGGGCTTACCCTATTCTGAAGCCATGGGCACGCCCCTGATGTGTGGGAGACAATTTGCGTATTAGATGTGCGCTAAAAAACCGACATAGCTTGGAAAAGCACGAATGTAGTGAAAACTTAGCGAAGGCATTCGAAAATGTCGTCCCACATATGCGGGTTGGCGCATTCGTGCTAACGAATGTGAGTGATCTGATCAGGATAATAATTTTAAGATTTTGGTTTCCTGTCGTGGCTGAAACAAAAACCGCGCCAGCCAATAAAAAAAAATCCTGCTTGGCGCGATTTCATCAAGCGTGTTTAACGAAAAAGCTGGCTCAATGCATTTTGCGAGAAACTCGCCAACAAACATATGAATGTGTCACACTTACCCCGTTTTCTAATATCAATAAAAAATAAAAAGGAAAAAATATCGATATATCGAGTTAAAATGGTCGATATATCGGATATCGATATTTTCCTGAATTCGATATAAATATCGATATTTCAAAAGACTTTGCATCCCTGGTCACCACCGTGTGCTTTGTCATTTGTGTAGAAACTAATTATGATTAAAATTACCGCTATATCGTTAAGTTAACTTTCGCCAGCCAGTCACTATGTGTATGATAAATCCCCAAAGCTTTTCTTTTATTTCAAATTCCTATACCATTCACAGGATCGATAATTACACTAGATCTAGAAAAAAATGCAACACCTGCTACATTACGTTATTATAATTTACTAGCAGTGCTCCTCGATGGTACCCGCGGTTATAAGGGATATTTTCGCGCAGTAAAACGTACCCTATGTGTTTATACTCTGTATTACTCAGCTAACTGTATAACATTTTTTTTTAAATCGTTCCAGCCGTTTAGACTTGAAGAAGTGACAAACATACATACTCACTCACTCACAAGCTTTCGCTTTTATAATATTAGTGTGATACTGGTCTACCCGGCGAACTTTGTACCACCATATTTTATTTTAGTAACATTTTCTAAATTCCTGTAAGAATATAACTATTGTCAATGTTTTGTTAATATATTGATGATTTTTCATAGTCTTCTGTCTTATCCACTCGCTTACTTATAGGTGTAATGAGATTGAAAAAGGCTTTGTTTTTTATAATCATTTTCTAATATTACATAGTAAGCCTTGTCCTGTTGTCCTGTCAATATCGACACAAAAAAAATACAGTCGAACATAGAACCTCCTCCTTTTTTGAAGTTGGTTGAAAACCAGCAAATGCGACGAAATATTCTGTGAATATTTGAAGAGTCTACCTGTTGCGGTTAATTATAATTAAGAGCAAAAACGGCAAAAAACGGGTTTGTGGTATGGGAACCCCTTTAAATATTTATTTATTCCATTATCAGTATTTGTTGTTCCATCATCTGTGAAAATTTCCACTGTTTAGCTATCACGGTTCATGAGATACATCCTGGTGACATACATTTCGGCGATTCATTTTTAACCGACTTCAAAAAAGGAGGAGGTTCTGCGTTCGACTGTACTTTTTTATGTATTTTCACCGATTGTGGACCCATTTCAAAATTTATTTTTTTATTCGAAAGAGTGTACTTCTAGTGTTATCCCATTGGAACTAAGTCAAGATCCGATGGTGGAATCCGGGGAAATCGAGGGAAACCTTCAAATTTCAAAGGCAAGCACGATGTTTTTTATGCATGTTCACCGATTTCTCCGTCAATTGTGTTATTGTTTACGTCAACAATGTAATTTTCATTAAAATGGATTTTTTTTTTTAATAAAACCGACTTCAGAATCGAAAATGGAACTAATAAAAAGTAAAAAATAATATCTGGTTCATGATTTGGAAATCGGGCGGGGTCAAGATTGAAACATTAAATAGATTTTAGTTTCTGATCGGTAATAATACGTCTTTCAATCTTGACCCAACCGACTTCCAAATAATGAACCAGATATTATTTTTTAAATTTTATAAGTTCCATTTTCGATTTTCAAGTCGGTTTATTTTTTTTTATTTAAAGAGATTTTATACTTAACTGTACTAGTACAAGTAGTCAATCAATCAATCTAGTCATTTTGCGACTTAGCCATTGTAAGATGTATAGTCATTTTAGGATGTAGTCATTATTTCATGTGGTCAAATAAGGATCTATTGTAGTCATTTTGCGTTCTTAGGCATTATGCGATGTAGTCAATTAAAGATCTAGACGAAATTATTTGTAGTCATTTTGCGATATAGTCATTAAATAGGGGGTCTCACTGCGACTAGACAATCCGAGAACAACCTATATTTTTTATTACAACGAAGTAATACTTATATATCTCTACCTTTTTATTGTCGTTCGTTCGTTACGTAGTTCATGATCATCCGAAAAAAAGGATCATGTCAAACCAAATAGCGAAATGATAACTGTCATATTTTTCTTCCCTTATTCGAGTAATAAGTTTCTTAATTATATTGTAAATAATAAGTAATTCTTATTTTCGTAATAAGGTACGAACCCCAAAAGTGTGTGTTGTGCTTTCAAAACAGAAATCAATAAAGTAATTTAGTTTTCGTGTCAGTACGTACTTATTCGGTACCTTTCCTGAGGCACAGTAACTCGTAGGTCAATGTTACTGCGCATATTATTCAGCTATGCTATAACAAACTCTACTAAAATCATTAAGACGGTTTCCGTTCTATTGAGATCACAGCTTGATTGCTTAGGCTTGATACGCACGACTGGGCCGCATGTAGGTCTAAATAAAGACTTGTTAAAAATGTTAATAATTATAATTCGGATTGTTAAATATAAAATACATACATGGAATCACTTCATATACTTTAAGGCGATAGTATATAAATACTTAAAAGAAGACACATGGTGAAAATTTTTTTACTAGCAGGAATTCAGTTCACGTAGGTACGTGTAATAATTTATTTAAGTGCACTCGGCGTCAAAAAAATCGCACCTCCGCGAAAATAACTTTCAAGCGTTATTAGCCCTTAACACGCGCATGTACCCCCACCAATATTGGTGTCATTTGAAAGCACATTAAATAAACTTTAAAAAACTATTTCATTTCATTAAAAAAAGCTTGATACAACAAATGTGCCACTAGTTGCTTTAGTGGGTATAAAAGGGTTAATACAGGTTCAATGGGGTTATTCGCTATCCAACCCTTGAAGAGTACATACAAGAAGATCTTTCACAAAAAAAAACCTTGAAGATGGATACCACTGCTCATGAAGCCGCTCAAGTGATTGCACTACTGCAATCAGGGATGCGGCAGTGTGATGTCGCTCGGCAACTGAAATTGAGCCGTTTTTCTGTTCAAAAAGTATATCAGCCATGTCTTGAAGCATGGGTCTGGTAGACGTCGCTGCACTTTGGGGAGAGACGACCGATTCATCGTATCGACATCTCTAAGAAATCGGTTCTCTAATGCTGTTGAGTTGCAACAGTTTTCACGGTTTCCACGGTTTGACGAAGACTGAGGGCGAAGAAGATAGCGGCTCACAGAGCTACTACGGGGCCAAAATAGACCACAGAGCGTCGGCGAGCCCGCTTACAGTTTTCTTGCGACCGCATCAATTGGACCCTTGACCAATAGAGAGCTGTTCCCTTCTCAGACGAGACAAGAGTGTGCCTTTTCTGCAACGATAGACGCAGAAGAGTGTACAAAATACAGGGGGAACGTTTCGCCCAAGCCTGCATCCAGGAGACGGTGGTATACTAATAACTAAGAATCCAGGAGACGGTGGGTGGTTCCTGTATGTTTTGGAGCAGCATGTCGGCCGACGGCAGAAACGCCCTTGTAAACGTCTCCCGGTCTGGAAGTGCTCGCGGGCAAGGGTCGCTGTCTGCGCACCAGTACGTCACGGAGATCCTGGAAAAGCATATAGTCCCTTATGGCGGTTTTGTTGGCGAGGGGTTCACATTAATGCACACTAAAAGTAAGACAGAAACAAACTATATATTTTAAAATAAATGATGATAAATTTTTGATCATCTAGGGCAAATAACTGAACTATTGGGAACGAACGGAATTTTAAAGGGCAAGGTTCATAAGCAATGTTATTTGTAATTGTATCCGCCGTATACTATATCCATAAAATAAAAGTGCTCATATTTTTTGTTCCTACCATATCGTGTGTTCCGCACCTACGTGGAAACAAGTTCAAAAAGCCAGTCAGTCGCGACGCGGATATGACGACATAAGTCAACCATTCCAGTTACCATTTCTATTAGTTCCAGGGCTAAAGAAAAAATACGGAAATATGTGCTACTATACGAGATAAATATCTCAGCCCAATAGTAATTTCGAAAGGAAAAAGTTGCCTCATAATTTGAGTTTAAAAGTTCGTTTTTAAAGAACTCA